ATGGTTTGGAGAGTTCAAGGTAATTTGAATTATAATTACATTAAACAATGTCATTTCATTCTTATAAATTAAATGTTTTTTGTGTATTTTATTTATGCAGAAAGAGTATATATGGGATGTGGAACAAGAGCAAGCCATAAGATCTGTTTTTGATAAGAAAGGTTCTCGAATTTTAAAAAACTCAATGAACAAAGTTAGGAATGGTAAGGATACGGGAATCTGGATACCGCCAGCTGTTATTGGAGTTCTCCAGATTTCCAAAACAAGAGTGCCATTGCCAAGGCTAATCGAGTAGTTGATAAGGGTGCCTCGAGCTTATCGTGGGGGTTCCATATCTACTGCAGCTCACTTTGAGAAGATGGTAAGTTTATTATATTTTTATATAAGTAATTTAATACAATATATTACACTTTAGGTAATAAATTTTGTCTCATTTTAATGTGTAGACTACGGAGTTTCAACGGGAACCAACCGTTTGGGAGGTTGTTGAGAGGACAAAGAAATTAAAGACTGGACAATGGGTCAATGAAAAAACTCGTTATCTTGCTCTGTATGTTTAACATCTAAGTTATAGTTTATTATTCAATATATGTTTTCTTCATAATAATTATATTTCACTTCATTTTTAGGAACAATATATGCAGCTGCGAGAAGAAGTCCATCAACATAACTTGCGTGAAGGCTCATCTTCACAAGAGTCTCCTATTGTCTCTATTGATGATAATGAAATATACATTTCGAGTTGTTGGGGGTGAAAATAAAAAAGGAAATGTGTATGGACTTGGTACATTGAGCAAAAAGTTCACTACTACATCAGGTTCTCAATCTTCTATTACTCAAACTCCGAGTACTTCATCAAATTGAACAAATGCGTGAGACTATTGAAAAGTTAAATGCTGAATTGGTGGCAAAGCATAATAAGGAGAAGACACTTCAAGAAGAGATACAGGAGTTGAGGAACAACCAACGCCAACAAGATGAGCGAGATGAAGCTTATTTTACAACATATTCAAATGAATAGTCATCCTACTACAAGTCAACATGACACCGACAATATACCATAGGACTAATTTTCAATTTTATGATATTAAGATTTTGAATCTTGAGTAGTTGTTTAGAAACATTTTATTTCTGTTATGACTTTGAATTGTTCTTATTATGATTTGAATAATTTGACTTTAGTTCTTAAGTTTTCATTTGTGTTCTGTTTGGATGAATTAAGCAGGTACAAATTTTGTAAAATTGGATATACAAAATTTTAAATGAAAATTTTCAGATTTGGTTAGATTAGCGACCGAATTTTTGGTCGCTACAAATTTATTATAATATACAATTCAATTTTAGCGACCGATTTAGCGACCGATTTAAATTATTATTTAAATAATTCAATTAATGTATTAGCGACCGATTATATTCGTCGCTATTATTTTTAACTTTGTCTCCAATTTAGCGACCGATTTACTATATTAATTTCTGTCGCTATTTTTGCGACCGATTTAGCGACCGATTTTAATTATTATTTACATAATTATATTAATATATTAGCGACCGAATATATCGGTCGCTTTTTTTAAAATTTACCACCGATTTAGCTGACCGATTTATTATATTAATTTCGGTCGCTATTTTGGTCTTCAATGAATAAGTAACCAAATTATTTAGCGACCACCTTATCTGGTCGCTATTTAGCGACCAAAATGTAAATCGGTCGCTAACAAATTAGCGACTTGCCCTTTTGCGACCAACCATTTCGGTCGCTAACAGAATAGCGACCGAATTTTGGCCATTAGCGACCGATTTTTTCGGTCGCTAATAGCGTTTTTTCTTGTAGTGTTTAGTACTTTATTATATATATATACGATTAAAATTAATTAAAATAATATAGATAATGTTTCTTTGATTATATATATGAGATTAATTTCCCTCACCTCTCCCATTTTTAATACGGACATCCACGTAAATTAGTCACAATACGAGTTATTATGACTTGTACAAAAGTCTCTAATGCTTAATGCTTGGTAAAAAGAGTAGTGAGTACAAAGTAATTAGTATAGGGAAATAAATATAAAATAGTATTTTCATTATTGACTAATAAGAAAAGTGAAAAAAAAAATATTTTTCATTATAAATATATATTTATTTTTCACTCATATACTATAGAAAAAGTAAAACAAGTAAGAAAAATAATGTTTTTTATATAAAAAAAAGAAAAATAATAAAGATAATGTTATGATTACCTTGACTCAATTTTTTTTTTTTTATCATGGTATGTGAAATGGACCATATAGGAACAAAAAAGTATAAATACGATAAATGAGATAAGATAATAATAATAATAATAATAATAATAATAATAATAATAATAATAATATTATTATTATTATTATTATTATTATTAGTAACTAAATTTTATTTTTTGTTATCAAATTAATGGGAGCTTTTTAAAATGTAGACATTGTTGATATTGAAGCTTCACAAAAGATAGAAGGATAAAGGGAAGGAAGTGGTTGTTCATCAAATTTGAAGATCTTTGTTAGAAGGGATAAAGGGAAGGATAAATTACCTCTGACTTTTCTATATTGAATTTTAAATAATGATTGGTTGGCTGGTTATGGATGCCTTGTATTCAAGTGAGGATTGGGGGCAGTAAATATAACATGTAACATGGTTAGTGGAAGGATTGATTTGTTTGATTATTTTTTTCAATTTGTTTGCATTGATTCAAGATACATATTACCAATCATCATTTAAAATTGATGAATATTTTGTATTATAATTGATGAATATTAATTTATGATGAATATTGTTAGTTTTGTATCTTCATATATTATGAAGATGAGATTAGTTATTTAGTTATTTTAACCTTGTTGGTAAGAGGGTTACATGAGTCCTACATGAGCAGCAACAACAATCACAACATCAACCAGCTTTCGCAGAGCAGCCTCAAAATGAACAAGGACATTACTCAAATTATTAAGACACTCAAACAATATTGTCATAGTATTTTTTATATTACTTCTTTGGATTTACATGTTCTTAGATATTTGAATGACTATTTGATGCATGCTAATATTAGGATTTGTGTTTGATATTTGAATATGCGCTTGGTGCATATCAATATTATGGAATATTGTTAAATTTGATATCTAAATACTTTATGTGTAATATGCATGTAACAGGTAAAATTTAGTTAAATCATTGATGGTGATAAAATTTTATAAATTTACCTACGGATTTGAACATGGTAATTACCTACGGATTCTATTCGTAGGTAACTACCCACAGATTACAATCCGTAAATTATCTACAGATTCTGTTCATAGGTAACTACCAACGGATTACAATCCGTAGGTAATTATCTACGAATTCTGTTCGTAGATAATTACCCATGGATTACAATCCGTAGGTAATTATCTATAGATTCTGTTTGTAGGTAATTACCCACGGATTACAATCTGTAGTAATTACCTACGGATTTTGTTCGTAGGTAATTATCTACGAATTACAATCCATAGGTAATTACCCACGAACGATATTATCTACGTACATAAATTCTGTAGGTAAATTACCTACGACCATATGACTTACGAATTTTTGCTATTACATAAGGATTTTTTGTAGTGACACCAGAAGAAGCATGGAAAGAAAGAAAGTCAACAGTGAGTCACCTTATTGGTTTCATAGGATATGTGCATATTCCTGATGCAACCTGCAAAAAGCTAGATGTGAAGAGTATCAAATGTGTGCACATGGGAGTTAGTGAAGAATCCAAAGCCTATTGTATGTATGGTCTAGAAACAAAGAAAATAATAATTAGTCGTGATGTTGTGTTCGATGAAATGGAAACATGGGCTTGGAGCACATCGGGAGAAAGCCACAACACTAATGATCTTATATGTGATAAACCAGAAGCAACTGATATTGACTCAGGAACCACCAATAAAACAGATCCTGAAATTGCCGAGAGTTCAAAAATTATAAGAAGCAGTAGAGGCCCAGAACGCAACAGAAAGCCACCAATATGGATGCAGGGCTATGAATCCAGAGCTGGAATATTCGAAGAGGAAGAAGTTGATGATGTTGAGCAACTCACCTAGGAAATGAAGCAACTCGCTATGCTTGTGACCAATGATCCTCTCACCTTTGACGAAGCAACTAAAAGTTGAGTGTGGAGAGATGCTATGAAAAATGAAATTGAAGCAATCGAAAGAAATGGCACTTGAGAGCTCATTGATCTACCACCAGGAGCAAAGAAGATTGGTGTCAAGTGTATTTTCAAGACTAAGATGAATGAAAAAGGTGAAATTGACAAGTGTAAGGCACGACTCATGGCTAAAGGATATGCTCAACAAGCTAACATTGATTATACTGAGGTGTTTGCACCTGTTGCTCGTTGGGATACTATTCAACTGATTTGTCTATTGTAGTAGGTAGGGGATGGCAAGTTCATCAACTTGATGTCAAAAGCACATTCTTACATGGAGAAATAGCAGAAGAAGTATATGTAGAACAACCAAAGGGTTATGAGGTACCTGTTGCTAAAAACAAAGTCTACAAACTCAAAAAGGTTCTCTATGGACTCAGATAAGCCCCTCGGGCTTGGTTCAGCAAAATAGAGTCATACTTTATCAATGAAGGGTTTGAAAGAACATGACTGATCATACTCTCTTTGTTAAAAGGGAAGGTAGTGTTAATGTTCTTATTGTTAATTTATATGTGGATCATCATATTTTCACAGGTAACTATTAAGGAGTTAATTGAGTATAAATTTCATTGAGAAACTCACCTTATTAGACAATATTTGCATCTTTTTGCTATAATCTTAACCTTAAAAAGTATAAAAATCATGGGAATATTTTATCAAGTAACTATTCTCTCAAGTTGTTCTTTGATTCAGGATTTGAAGGAAGAGAAAGAGAAATTTTGGAGGAAGAAAATTCGCCCAGCGCATTTATAATGTGCCCAGCGGATTTTGGCTGAACCCAATCCGCCCAGCACATTTATAAGGCGCCCAGCGCATTTCCCTGAACGAAGTGGGTGCACGCGGGGCTCAATCCGCCCAGCGCATCATCCCGGCGCCCAACAGATTTTCCTCTTCTTAGACCTAAATTATATTTAAGAAATGAAAGAACAGAGAGAAAAAAGGGGGCTCGCGCGGGGAGAAAGAAAGAAAGACTATTTAGACCTAAAGGAGCTCGTGGGAACGCATATCAACTTGAATCCAACAAGTTTTGTTGTAATTTCTTCTCCTTCTTCTCTTGCTTTGTAACGGGTTCCTCCATGAGGAGCTAAAACTCTTTGGTTGGATTTCATGTAACTTCTTTCAGACCATTTCTCCATATATATGATTTTTGTTTGCTACAGTTGTGCTTGATTCTATTCTTAATGCTTTCTTCGGAGTGATCAACCGATTTAAGATCTTAGGGTTTTGATTATATTGGAAAATGTTTTCATTAACTGGAAATGAATCAAATGCTTAATAGACAACCTCTCTAGGAATAGAAGTGTGTTTATTAATCACATTAATCTCAAGATTTATTCGTAAGGCAGAGTGTTGGGTTTGAACGGTTGAAGAATCACATTCATGGTTAACACCCTAGGACTTGGTTTTGAGGAATCGGGCCAAGTTATATACTGAGAGTGAAATAGTAAAACATAAATCATATGGTTGGGAAATAGGGCTGGAAGCAAGTACATGTAATTCAATCTCTTTATTTATAATCACTTTTCGTTATATACCAAAAATTGCGACTATTTTAGTAGTTTGCCTTAAACCATACTTTCAATCCATGATGATAATCATATCTTATCTGCAATATCACTAAGTTACAAATCCCTGTGGACAATAACTCTTTACTACATCGAAACTTGGTACACTTGCCGGGTAATTTGAATCCATGAGTAAAAATATTAACAAGTTTCTGGCGCCGTTGTCGGGGATTTGGCGTACTAAGTGATTTTGCTTTTGAGATATTGTGAATAATTGTACATGTTATTACATTTTATACATTTATAGTTGTGTTTGTGGACTCACCCATCTGTGTAGCACAGTTAAACATGCATGTGAGGAAAGACTCCAATCGAAGAGCTCATTTTTTATCCAGAAATTGAAAAGACAGTAAGGAGAAACCGTGGTGACGCAAGAAGGCGCACACAGTTAGAGGTGCTCCAAAGATGACAACAGAATTTTTTGTTACCTCCTTCCTCATCATCCTCTAACCAACCGGACGAAGCACAAATGGCTGAAGAAGGGGATGGTATTCAGAATGATGATAGACAAGATGCACCACCTAGAAGAACATTGGGGGACTATGCTCAACAGCAAGGTCCAAGGCATTTCTCAAGTATCGCAACCTCGAATACCTCAAGAGCCATGGAAATGAAGCCTGCTTTTCTCAGTCTAGTGAGCTCACAACAATTCGCTGGACTTGATCACGAAGATCCATATGCTCATTTATCAAATTTCTATGAGTTGTGTGGCACTATGGGTATCCCCCAAGGTGATGAAGAAGCAGTTTATTTGAGGTTATTCCCATTCTCTCTAACAGGAAAAACAAAAGTTTGGCTGCAATCTCACCCTAATCAAAGTTTAACAAGTTGGGGTGATGTGGAGGACAAATTCGTTAATAGATTCTATCCGTCTTCCAAGTATATCAAGGCTAAATCGGAAATAACCACTTTCCGTCAAGGGATAGACGAACCGTTTTGTGAAGCCTGGGAGAGATTTAAGTTCTTGCTAAGGAAGTGTCCAAACCATGGGTTTGAGGATATAACGCAACTTAATTTCTTTGTCAATGGAATTAAACTTGAGATTAAGATGTTACTTGATGCAGCAGCTGGTGGTACTATGATGCCCGTCGGCCCAGATGAAGCAAATCAGATTATAGAATCCTTGGCTTCGTCGGACCAACAGGCTCAACATGGAAGACACCAATCTCACCGAAGAGGGATCATGGATTTGAGCACAAATGATGCACTTTTAGCTCAAAACAAATTGCTATCTCAACAAATAGAAGCTTTGACAAAACAAATGGCCAAGATTCCACAACAACTAAATGTTATCAACCCTCTAGCAGCCCAGCTAAGTCCACCACTCCGGTGTGATTTTTGCGGAGGAGAGCACCCGAATGGTCATTGTGGGGAAACTGCAATTGATGAAGAAGTTAGCTTCCTTGGTAACCAGCAGAGAGGGGGTAATTTTAATGCCCGTAATTATAACCCCCAAAATTATATACAAGAAAATCAAGGCTGGAGGAGTAATCCCAACAATCAAGCAATGAGATGGAGGAATGAAGCTGGACCATCTAATAGGCCGCCCCCAGTGCAGCAACAACAATCAGCCCCAGGATATCCTTCTTTGCATGATAAGACCAACAAGTTGGAGGACACTTTGACTCAGTTCATGCAAGTGTCTATTGCAAATCAGAAGAACACGGATGCTTCCATAAAGAATCTAGAAGTCCAAGTGGGACAACTAGCAAAACAGTTGGTTGGTATGTCAGAAGGTACATCTTTTTTTGCTAACACCAAGGTTAATCCGAAGGAGCATTGTCAAGCCATTATCACAAGAGGTGGCAAAGTGGTTGGTGTTGATGTTGAGAAAGAGAAAAACACCGGGTTGGTTGAAAGTGAAGTGTGCAAGAAAAATAAAGAAGTTGAAAAGGAAGTTGAGAAGGAGGAGGTGGAGACAAATAATGGGGAGGATCTTCCTAATGATAACAAACAAGAAGAAGAAAATCCAAAAGAAAAGGAGTCATTTGAGAAGGAGAGAAGTTTGATCAAGGGCAAAGGAGTTAATTCTAAAGCTCCAGTTCAAGATTTACCATACCCTCATGCTCCTTCTAAGAAAGTGAAGGAAAGACAATTTGCTCGGTTTGTAGATATCCTTAAAAAGCTCCAGATCAATATCCCATTTACTGAAGCCATGGAACAAATGCCTATGTATGCCAAGTTCATGAAGGAGCTGTTGACTAAAAAGAAGAGAATACTTGAAGAAGAGACAGTGGAGTTAGAGGCTGGTTGCAGTTCAATCATACAAAAATCTTTACCCCAGAAATCTAGAGATCCAGGTAGCTTCACTCTTCCGGTGTCTATTGGCAGCTTAGCAGTGGGCAAGGCACTCTTGGATCTTGGAGCTAGCATAAACTTGATGCCATTATCCATCCTGAAAGAGATTGGAGATGTGGAAGTTAGAACCACCCGAATGACTCTACAACTAATGGATAGATCAATCAAGTTTCCGTACGGGATAGTGGAAGATATGATAGTGAAGATGGACAAATTTCTATTTCCAGTTGATTTTGTGGTTATGGAAATGGAAGAGGATAAAGAAGTTCCACTGATTTTAGGAAGACCATTTATGAAGACAACCCGAGTCATCATTGATGTGGACAATGGCAAGCTGAAAGTCCGAGTAGAGGATGAGGAAGTCAATTTCAATGTTTTCGAAGCAATGAAGTTCCCTAAAGACACCAAAGATTGTTTCAAGATAGAGGTGTTGGATGAAATCTACTCGGAGACATGTGTAAAAATTGGGCATTCTGAACCATTGGAGAAAGCTTTAACAAGTTCTATGGAAGAAATTGATGATCAAGAGGTGCAAAAGTGTTTGGAAGAGTTGGATAAAGGTAAGGAGCTTGTCAATGGTGTAACAAATGAAGAGTTGGTGAGACAAGGTAGTTCTTCTTCCCCACAACTGGAGTTAAAACAGCTTCCACCACATTTAAAATATGTGTTTCTTGATAGAAATGGTGGCAAGCCAGTGATTATAAACAATTCTCTGTAAGAGGAGGAAGAAGCAAAGTTGGTGGAGGTGTTGAAAAACAATATAGGAGCCATTGGTTGGACTCTATCAGATCTCAAGGGAATTAGCCCCTCATATTGTTTGCACAAGATATTGATGGAGAAAGACTGTAAGCCGGTGGCCCAACTGTAGATGCGTCTTAACCCAACTATGAAAGAGGTGGTTCGAAAAGAAGTTACAAAGCTATTGGAGGCAGACATGATTTACCCAATCTTTGATAGTGCCTGGGTGAGTCCTGTTCAAGTTGTGCCCAAGAAGGGAGGCATGACTGTGATTTTCAATGACAAAAATGAGTTGATTCCCACTCGAACAGTGACCGGGTGGAGGATGTGTATCGACTACAGAAAGCTAAATCAGGCAACCCGAAAGGATCACTACCCATTACCTTTCATGGACCAGATGCTTGAGAGGCTGGCAGGGCAAGCTTACTATTGCTTTCTGGATGGATACTCTGGTTACAACCAAATAGCCGTGGATCCGGAAGACCAAGAAAAAACTGCGTTTACATGCCCGTTTGGAGTGTTTGCTTACAGGAAGATGCCATTTGGGCTTTGTAATGCTCCAGCTACCTTCCAACGATGCATGTTTTCCATATTTTTTGATCTAGTTGAGCAATGCATAGAGATATTCATGGATGATTTCTCCGTGTTTGGTTCATCATTTAAGGTGTGTCAGAATAACCTTGATATTGTGCTGAAGCGATGTATTGACACCAACTTGTATTAAACTGGGAGAAATGTCACTTTATGGTGATGGAAGGCATAGTTCTGGGCACAAAATTTCAAACAGAGGAATATAGGTAGATCCAGCCAAGGTGGACATCATTTCAAAATTGCCACCTCCAACCAATGTCAAAGGAATAAGGAGTTTTCTGGGACACGCAGGATTCTACCAGCGGTTCATCAAGGACTTTTCCAATATTGCTAAACCTCTCAGCAATCTCCTTCTGAAGGATACAAAATTTAATTTTGATGATGATTGTCTTACAGCTTTTTCCATTCTCAAAGCTCAACTAAGTTCAGGCCCTATAATCACTGCTCCCAATTGGAATCTTGATTTTGAACTCATGTGTGATGCAAGTGATTATGCTGTGGGGGCTGTCCTTGGTCAGAGAAAAAACAAAATCTTTCATGCAATACACTATGCAAGTAAAGTCTTAAATGAAAATCAAATAAATTATGCTACCACTGAGAAAGAATTACTTGCTATAGTGTATGCTCTAGAAAAGTTTAGGTCCTATTTGATTGGATCTAAGATTGTAATATATACTGACCATGCAGCCATAAAATACCTGTTAACCAAACCCGATTCTAAGCCTAGACTGATTAGGTGGATACTGTTGTTGCAGGAATTTGATCTGGAAATCCGGGATAAAAAGGGCAGTGAGAACAATGTTGCAGATCATCTGTTACAGTTAGTAAATGAAGAGGTGACCATCATGGAGAGGGAGATCCTTGAGGAGTTTCCCGATGAAAAGCTCTTTTCCATTCAAGAAAGACCTTGGTTTGCAGACATGGCAAACTTCAAGGCTGCTGGAGTAGTTCCAGAAGATTTAGATTGGAATCAGAGAAAGAAATTCTTCAAGGATGCATCTCATTTTGTTTGGGATGATCCATATCTGTTCAAGATTGGTGCAGATGGTCTACTGAGAAGATGTGTCTCAGGGGTGGAAACTAAAGACATCTTGTGGCATTGTCATAATTCCCCTTATGGCGGACACTACAATGGGGAAAGAACAACAGCCAAGGTCCTTCAATCAGGCTTTTATTGGCCCACTCTTTTCAAAGAAGCTTATGAGTATTGCAAGAACTGCGACAAGTGCCAAAGAACTGGGAACATCACAAAAAGACATGAATTGCCTCTGCACAATATTTTGGAAGTCGAAGTGTTTGACTGCTGGAGGATTGATTTTGTTGGTCCATTTCCCTCCTCATACTCCAATGAATACATTTTGGTGGCGGTGGATTATGTGTCAAAATGGGTTGAAGCAAGTGCCACACAAAAAGCAGATGCTAAGACCGTGATAAGGTTTTTAAAGAAAAATGTGTTTTGCAGGTTTGGAACTCCAAGAGTACTCATCAGTGATGGTGGTTCTCATTTTTGCAACACACAACTGAAGAAGGTTCTTGAGCATTATGGTGTGAGGCACAAGGTAGCCACACCATATCATCCCCAAACCAATGGCCAAGCGGAGGTGTCTAATAGAGAATTAAAGAAAATTTTGGAGAAGACCGTGGCAAGCTCGAGAAAGGACTAGGCCATGAAGCTGGATGCTACTTTATGGGCTTATAGGACAGATTTCAAGACATCTGTGGGACTGACTCCATTTCAGCTTGTTTATGGTAAAGCTTGCCACCTGCCTGTAGAATTAAAGCATAGGGCATTTTGGGCCCTTAAGTCTTTGAA